CTCCCACGAGACAGAAAGGGAGGAAATGTAATATCTGGATCGCTGGATGTTAATTGTGAATGACTGGAAAGGCTCCACGAATTTCCCTCCTCCCCAAAATCAGACGATTCTGTTCTATTTCCTTGTAAAACCCAACTAAATATTCAGCTGTTCGGCAGTCCACACTTCCCTCCTGCAATCTTCCCAAGAGCACCGCCTGGAAAGCTTTCTCTCTCCGACTCTGTCTGGGAACAAACCATAAGAAAAACGGACACGTAACAGACATCTTGGGCTGCAGGGAAGGCGGGCTGGAAGCACCTGAAGCAGTCGGCAAGGATCCAGGCAGCAGCGGAGCTTTAAGAGCCAACATGTTCTTGCTGGAGGAGGTAACCTGGAGTCAGCCCTCACAAGATGAGGCAAGAAATACAGGCATCATCTTCCCATATTTTAACACGACTCGGCATCCCTATGGGCAGACACAACCGCTTCATGTTTATAAACCTCTTGTTATTCTCTCCCTTCCTACTCTCTTTATCTTCTCTCTCTCTCACCTTCCTACTCTTTATCTTTCTCTCACCTTATTACTCTTTATCTTCTCTCTCTCTCTCACCTTCCTACTCTTTATCTTTCTCTCACCTTATTACTCTTTATCTTCTCTCTCTCTCACCTTCCTACTCTTTATCTTTCTCTCACCTTATTACTCTTTATCTTCTCTCTCTCTCACCTTCCTACTCTTTATCTTCGCTTTCTCACCTTCCCTCTCTTTATCTTATTCTCTCTCCTTCGCCGTCCACGAGTCTTTTTTTAGTCATTATCAAATTCCATTCTGCCCTGATTGTCCATTCATAAACGTTCTTGCTGGCTGATCTCTCTCTCTCTCTCTCTCTCTCTCTCTCTCTCTCTCTCTCCTCCCCATTCATACCAGGTCGTTCTTTATCTTAATTACTATCGTCTTACACGCCTCCATAAGCTGAGAACGTCTGCTTGTGTCCGCACCGAGGACTGGAAAACTGGAAATTGACACTGGAAATGAAGTGGTGATTGAATGTGTGCTAGTTGAAAATCCTGGAAGAGAGAGAGAGAGAGAGAGAGAGAGAGAGAGAGATTATAACCCCAAGCGTCTGTACCCAATTGTATCCTGACCTAACCATCTCTCTATCTCTCTCCCCTTCCTCTTCCTCTTCTTCCTCTCTCTCTCTTCCTCCTCCTCCTCCTGTAACCCTTGACCTGTCCTCAGCATTTTAAACACTGTCATTCTTCCTCAATTTTTTTTTTACGAATTTATCTCAATGTCTCCAAAGATACACCACCCACCCACCATCCACCCACCCATCCACCCACCCACCCACCCACCATCCATCCACCCATCCATCCACCCACCCACCCCACCCACCAATCCACCAACCTATCCACCCATCCACCACCCACCCCTGCCCACCCTCCACCTCACCCAACCCAACCTAACGATTATTGTCACATTTCCGTCATTCAGTCTAGTTTGATGGACGATTCTGATTGGTTGTTTCTCTGAATGGGTGGTGGGCGGCGGATGATGGGTGGTGGATGATGGGTAATGGGTGGGCGGAATGATGATGGGCCTTTCGGTGACGGATGAAGGGTAATGGGCGGTGGGTGGCCGGGGGTGGATGATCTATGCCGCCCACGATGCCACCCGTCACCAGACAACCACATCGATATGGTCTTTAAATTTAGAGAAGTTAAACCCATTACGTGGGTGGGGAATTTAAATGGGAGGGGGGATGGGGGAGGAGATGAGGGAGGTGAGGGGGAAGGAGGAGGGTTGATATATGGGGAGGAAGAAACAGAGGAGAGAATGAAAGTAAGGAGAGTGTGAGAGAGAGGTGAAGGAGAGTGAGAGACATGAGGGGGGAAGAATGAGGGATGAGTGGGGTGGAGATGAGTGGGGAGGAGAGAGAGGAGTGGGGTGGAGGAGGGGGGATGAGTGGGGAGGAGGGGGATGAGGGGGGTGGAGAGGGGGGATGAGTGGGAGGAGAGAGGGGAGTGGGGGTGGAGGATGAGTGGGGAGGAGAGGGGGATGAGTGGGGTGGAGAGGGGATGGAGTGGGGTGGAGGAGATGGTGGTGGAGAGAGAGATGAGTGGGGTGGAGAGAGAGATGAGTGGGGTGGAGAGAGAGATGAGGTGGGAGAGAGAGAGAGAGATGAGGGGTGAAGAGAGAGATGAGTGGGGAGGAGAGGGGGATGCACCAACTAAGAAAAAGAGACATTCAATGACCTCGGATGAACGACGTGAGATATACAACACACCAGACAAGGGCAGTGGCAGGGGTAAGTGGCAGGGGCAGTGGCAGGGGTAAGTGGCAGGGGTATGGGGGTTGTGTGTAGTGGCAGTGGCAGATAGTAGTAGTGGGGATAGTGGTGGGGGTATTGGTAGGTATGGTAGTGGTTGGTGGAGTGGTAGTGGTATTAGGTGGTAGGGGGGTAGTGGTAGGGGGTAGGGTAGGGGGTGGGGGGTAGGGTAGGGGGTGGTAGTGGTAGAGTGGGTAGGGGTATTGGTGGTAGTGGTTGAGATAGTAGGAATAG